GAGGCTGAGGCAGAACAGCAAGTTTCAGTTCCACCTGGGTTACTAAGCAAGCCCCTGTCTGAAAACATAAAAGGGCCTCAGTGTGAAGACCCTGGCTGCACTGCTCAACCCCACAAGAGGAGGAAGGGACAGGCAATGAACAGGGCAAAGAGGAGCAGGGAGGAGGAGGTGGAGAAAGAGGGGGACAAGTGAGAGAAGAGGGGAAAGTGAAAGAGGAAGAGACAGGGAGAAACAGGCAGGGAGAGAAGCTACTCAAAGCTCAGGTCAGTGCGGATCTTCCTCACTGACTCCTAGCAGTGAGGTTCTCCCCTGCTGCCCCCACCCAGAGTCCTTGGGTTCCTCCCTTAGGGCCCCGTGACCTCTTGCCCACTACATGCCCAGTCAGCAACTCCCTGATCCAGGCACACATGGCACAGGAGTGCTCTGTCCCTTCCATCATCCTACCAGCTCTGTCTGCCCCCTCATATCTCCCACAGCTCTGAGTCACAGTAGACAAAGAGTGGTTGAGAATGGAAGGAAGGGGCTGACCCAAGGGATGGGAAGAGACTGTCTGGGACAGGCTCAGTTTCAGGCTGGCCCCAGGCTGAGAGCCACACAGCTCAGCAGAGTAGCAACATTAGGCTGTGGACCAGGCAGATGAAGATGACTGGAAACCCTCATCGGCACCATTAGCTCAGGTGGAAGGGGGAGGGGCCCAATAACTGGGAACTGACAAGGTTAGGCAAGCATCAGATCTGGGAAAATGCCTGCCTGGCCTTGAGCACACCCTCAGTACCCAAGAGCCTGACAATGGAAAGGGAAGCTCACGGCTCAGATGCTGTCACAGGAGGACATGAGCCACTTGTATAGCACAGGTAACTTCAGGCAGGCAGTTTATGAGACAGTCATGCAATGCGGGTGTGGCCTGGCAGACACATCTGCATAGCAGACAAGGTGACTGTGCATGGGCAGAACAGGTGAGTGAAGACACTGAGTATGTGATAGGCATACAAACACTCCTGCCAAGCAAGTCCCTTTAAAGAGCCAGATACTCAGAGCCAATGTGCTCCAGCTCTGAGAGGCCCAGAAGGAAATAACAAGGCCTCCTCTGCAGGGAAACCTTCCTTGCAGAAACAGAAAGAGTCCACATGTGATGTCCAGGTTTCTGGAGGCAGCCCAGGAGGGGCCTCAAGCCTGAGAAAATGGTAAGAGCCACCTTCCGGTTCCCAGTGCATTGCCAGGTTCCCCAGGACCTGGGCAAGGACGAAGGACCCACGTCTTGTTTTTGGTTTTTTGGTACCTGGGACTGAACTCATGACCTCCCGCTTGTCAGGCAGGAACTTATGCCACTAAGCTAAATCTCCAACTCCACCCCCAGGTCTCTTGTCTCCAGGAACTTGGTGAGTGTCTGGTGCCCGAGACTGATGAGCTCCAACCCAGGATTTCTCTTAGAAGTCCCTTATGGTCTCCCAGCAGCATGTGCATACACAGGAGTCAAGGCCAGCCAGGCCCCTCCACGCTCTCTGAGGGGCCTATAGACCTCATGCCCTCACACCATGGAGGCAGATCCTCCAAAGCTGCACTGGGTCCAGGCCACCTATGACACTTTGATGTTTCCCCACTTCCAGGTGCATACTCAGCTCCCAATCTATTTCCCAGAGCCCCATAAAGCCCCTCTTCCCCAATGGGCACCATAAGCCCCTGCTTGCCTTCTGAGTAACTGGTAGCTGCTGCTTAAGAGACCTACCTCCATGGTGTGAGGGCATGAGGTCTGTAGGCCCCTCAGAGAGCATGGAGGAGCCTGGCTGGCATTGATTCCTGTGTGTGCACATGCTGTTGGAAGACCATAAGGGACTTCTTTTTTTTTCGTTTTTGTTTTTTTATTGGTACCAGAGATCGAATTCATGACTGCCTGCTTGTAAGGCAGGCACTTATGCCGCTGAGCTAAATCCCCAGCCCCCATAAGGGACTTCTAAGAGAAATCCTGGGTTGGAGCTCACCAGTCTCAGGTACCAGCAACTTCCTGTCATGAGCTCACTGGGAGCCAGAGCTGGAGACCAACCTCTGGGTGTGGGTTGGTGACCACAGCCTAGCACATTCCCTACTCACCCTGCCAGCCACTGGGACAGGTGATCCCTACACCGTCCCTCCAGGTCCCATATTGCTCTCAGCCTCTGCTGTGATGGATTTTGTACCCAGCCACTCCAGCTCCCGTAAACCATTACCCAACTGCCAGTCCCTTCTTGGCCTTCCACAGCAAACCACAAGAGGAACAGTTTACTTACCGTTCAGAGAGGGCCAGGAAGCACTGACCAGGGAAGATCAGGTCAGCACTATGCTCTCCCACACTGGGACTGTGAGGTCACCTATGCCAAGACCCTGGACACTCCAAGAACTCACCCTGGTGGCACAGCTGACACACATACACACTGTGGGCTCTGGTCACTCACAGGAGGAGCTTTCCCATTTGTGGGCCAAGCCACCATACAGGGGAAGAACCCATTCAGGTGCCACCTGGCTCTGGAGCACTGGCTTTCAGAAGAGGAAAAAGCCAAAGGCTCTGCCTGCCTCATTCCAGGTTTTCTCCTGCTTACTCTCTCAAACTTTTTTTTTTTTTTTTTTTTTTGCAGTGCTGAGATCAAACCCTGGGCCCCACTAGGCACATGTTCTGCACCAGCCGCATCCCCAGTGCTCCGCTCCTCGTACAGTCTCCCTGCTCCTCCCCTTTAAACCTCATCGTTTCGCAGTCTCTCCTTGGCTCTTTCTCCCTTTCCTCCTCTCCTAACATCTTCCTCAGCGCCTCATATTCATCCTCATTCTCTCACCAGCACCCTCTGTCCACTGGGGCTGCATGCTGAACTGAGGCCCCATGTGAATGCACGTCTGTGTACTCCATGTGGCACACACGCATGTCTGGCATGTACCATGTGTGCAGTGTCTGTGTAACTCCAGGTCTTTGGCCCTTGTGTCCCACTATGGCACCCTCATCAGACAGCTCAGGCTGAACGTGGATATGCCGGTCGAATAGGGGGGACTTCACAGCCATAGCAGGGTCAAGCTCTTGCTGCAACACCAACCATATGCCAGGTACTAAGTAAGCAAGACACAAAACCCAGCCCAGACAACTCACCATGTAGTGGGAAGGACATCAAGAGCAGTTACTCAGATACATGAGAGGGTAACATTCACCATAGCACAGCTGGCGGTGACACTAGATGTCCTATCAGGAGGGAATATCCTAGGGTCTGGCAGGGCTTAAGAGCCCTGGTCATCTTTCTGGCTTGGAGTTTGGTTCTGTTTCTTCAGTCCCAACTCCTAATGTTGCTTAGGGGAGATGTTGCTTCAGGGACACAAGCTTGAAGAGCAAGGACCAAAAATTCTGAGTATTCAGTGAAGTGTAATAGTTGGGAGCATGACCTTGCCTCTGATATCTGAAGGATTTGCTGAAGTCTGACAGCACAGAATGCAGCCTCAGGCAGCGGGAACAGCCTGTGCAAAGGCCTTGTGGCAGGACAGCCAACAGTCCTGACATAAGGCAATACAGCCCAATAGCTTGGGAAAAAAAGGGCAAAGTACGGCCTGAAATGAACTGACTACCCCAAAGGTTCATGACATTTGTGATCTTTCATGAAATACGAGGGCTCCAAGCTGTGATGACTCAGTCTAGCTGACTGGGAGGAGTCTAACACACAGAACAAGTGTGGAGAGCCATGATGACACTCATAGCTGGATGAACAGGGACCACTTCCACAGCAGACACAGAGGAACAGGAAAAAGCTGGATGAAATTTGCAGTAAGGAACCACTAGCTAGACATGGTGGCACACACCTGTAACCCCAGTACTCAGGAGGCTAAGCAGGAGGATCACTACAAGTTCAAGACCATCCAGAGTTACACAGTAAGTTCAAGGTCAGTTTAAACTACATATTAAGACTCTGTCACAAAAGAGAAAAAGGGGAAGGGAGAGAAGAAAAAAGAATTGAGGAGAATAAACTACAGTCAAAGCAGGTACAACACTGGAATCAAAAAAGGAAGCAATCAGAAGGCTGCAAGCTGTGCAATTAATTGGTGAAGATGGCAAAGCAGCCTGGCTCAAAAGGAACCAAAATTCACTGAGTCTCTCATGCCTAAAATTTATCCACCTGGTCCCACTGGGAACACTTCCTCCAAGAATTCACCCTGATCTTGAAGTCTCTTCTCCAGAGACTCTTCCCCCACCTCGGTGCTTACTATAGTGAAGTACCTAGTACTGCAGGCATCACCAAACTCCGCAGTGCCTCAGCTCACCAGGGGACCTCCCCCCTCCAGGTTCAGCTAAGCAGGACCATCCTCTCTGCGTGGCCCATCTGTTCTGGTTTCCAGAGCCTCACTCCCACAAGAATGATTTTACAAGCAAAGAGATCTCCATTCTACTAGTAGGAAAGGGCAAAAATAGTGGCCGGGAAGAGGTGGTCCACAGGAACGCATTTCAGTCAAAACAGTCCTTGAAAACCAGCTACAGTTTATGGTGACTAGGTCCACCCCAAGTACAATTCTAACATAACCCATCAGTGCAAAGCCTGTCCCCTCAATGCTTATGAGACCTTTTCTCCTGGCACCAAGAGCTGAACCCAGTGCTTTCACACTAAGCTACAACCCTGGTGTTTTGTTTTGAATCTTGAGACAAGAGTCGCTGTCACTACAACGCCTAAGCTGCATCAAACTCCACACCCTCTTGCCTCAACCTCCTAGAGTCCTAGGATTCTAGGCATTCGACATCACACCCATCACACACATTTTCCAAAGAAAAACTTAACCTATATCCCCTATAACTGTAATCTATGAGGCCAGTTGCCATGACCCTGACCCACAAAACCTCACACTATTCTAAACTCTAAAGGCAAACACACAGTGAGATTTTAAGCAAATTTATACAAAAATAAACTACAATGTCCTTACCATCTGAAATCCAACCAAGTGATACACAAATCGGACATTTGCGACTCCGGTGTAATTTTAAGAAATAAAACCTTGGTCCAAGCTCTTATAATAAAACTATATTCTTTTAAAGAAAATGAAAATATCCTCAAAGGAAAAACTTAATTTAAGTCAAATCATTTCTTTTGTCATGGAGTCTGATGCACAGCGCACAGGTCACTTCCCGGCAAGGCGGGCAGGGCGCCCCCTCGCGGTCCCTCTTCAGCGACACCTGCAGCTTGGCATTCTGCGCAAGGCGGTCTCTTCCACCGGCTGAGGATGGCAGGAAAGGCAATCCCCAAACCAAGAGCAGGGAACGGGAAACGTGGCTGGAAACACCCTTCAAAGTCGCCACGGCCACACTCCGCAGTGTCCCCCGAGGGTGTCATCTCTCACCCGCTCTGTGGCCCCACGCAAACAAGGCGCCCTTCATACCCACCAGCGGGCAAGGCACTGGTTCTGCTGAAACACCCACACCCAAGGCACCCTCCACCAAGCCGCCCCGCTTTCCTGCCACACCCTGTCTGGGAAGGGCAAGGGCCTTGGAGGGTCTCGGGACTGAACCAAAAGCCAGTGAAGGGGCTGATGGGGGGCAGTAGGCTGGGGCGGGATGGCTTGAGGCACAGAGGTAAATAAATAGAAATAGCTTCAACGCGGGGATCCGGCCCGGCAGACAGGACGTGACAGCAGCTCGGTGGGAAGTGTGCGAGGGGCGGGGGTAGAGCTGACAAAACCTTACACACCTGGCCCTCTCCCCACTCCCCTGTCCCCCACCCAACGCTGCTCAGAGCTCAGTGACTCGCACAGCAGGCGAGGGAAGCGGGCCTGGCCCAAGGCGCCGCAGGTGGCAGCAGCGGCACAGCAGGTGGCCCTCCAGGGGGTAGCAGCGGCTTCCGTCTTCCCCGCTCAGCTGCAGCCCACAGTCCTAGGGGAAGAACACAGGGGAGCACAGTCAGCAAAGGGACAGGGCCTCTTCAGACACCCAGATGTCAAGGGGCGGCCTCAGATCTGCAGGCTGGGACTCTACTGCAGGACACTGCGAGGACAGGGGCTCTAGGACACCCAAGAGTAAACAGCTGGATACAAATTTGGCATCTGGGTGCACGGCCTGGGCAGTAATGTGGGCATCAATTTGACCTGAGAATTTTTGTGTATGTGATACTAGGAGTTGAGTCCAAGACCTACACAATGAACCACATTCCCAGCCTTGTTAATTTCTTTATTTTGAGGCAGTGTCTAGCTAAATTGCCTCAGCTGGGCTCAAACTCGTGATCCTCCTGTCTCAGCCTCCAACACTGGTATCATTACAGGCATGTGCCACCTTTAGTGTGGGAGGGGTTGTTTGCTTTTGTTTTTTGTCTTTTTGAGACAGGGTCTCACTATGCAGTTCAGGCTCACTTTGTAGCCAAGGCTGGTCTTGAAATTGCAAGGATCCTCCTGCCTCAGTCTCAGGAATGCACCACCATGCCCAGCTTTAGTGTGGTTTTTAAAAACAATATAACAAGGTTACTCTCCCAGGGAGTGTAGAACAATGAAACCAGAACAGTGAAGAGGAAAAAGAGCTCAGCCTTGGAGACTGCAGAGAGGTGGCAGAGAAAGTGATGGAAGGAAAATATACAAGTGAGGAAAAACCAAATACAGAGCAAAGTGAGGTCCCGGGGGTGGGGGAGGGCAGGGTCAGCTTGTGCAAAGCTGTTGCCTGCAGAAAGTCCTCCTGAGTCTACCTACATCATGGGGAACACAATGCCAGGCCCAAGGGGCCTTAAGAGAATGCTTGCCTAGAACACAGGAGGTCCTGGGTGACAGGGCAGGAGGAAGAGACAGAGAATGTAAAAACACTGAATAAGGAGCTGGCTCTGTGCCCTCGCAGTAGCCAGCACTAAAATGCCTGGCAGCTTTTACCCTTGGAATTCAAAGCCCCTACAACTAGCTCCTGACTCACTTCATAGGTAATGGAGCGGGGCTGCTGTTCTGCAGTCACACCTCAGGTCTCCTCCCTGTCCAGCCATACACCTCACTTCTCCTGGCCTAGGCCCTGCTATTACTCCTGGGCACCCAAGTGAGAAGGAAGGGCCAGGACAGCCAAGTACCGTTCTACTCTCAGCCTCTAAGAAATAGCAGCATCCTCATGCCCCTCACAACCTACCAAAGAGCAGCTCGCTCCTGGGCTAAGGCCTGTGCTCAGTGACACCAAGGAGACACCACAGCCCACAAGACAGACAACTGGGACACTGTCTAAGCACTAAGGGCTGTACTCTTTTAAATTCATCACTTCAGGTATTGATATAATGATAGAAGCTAACACACTCACTCTCTGTTGAGGTCCCTTTCAACCCTTCCCACGCCCCAAATTCCTGCATTCAGTCACCTGCCAAACTCAGGCCCTTCTCCTGCTCTATGATCACACTACTCAACCACTTCCTGGACCCAAAACCACACCCTGGCTGCACCAGCCCCTTCAGAACCTCCGATTCCATCTCCATTCCTGCTTCCTCCAGTTCTGTACAGCTGTGGCTTCTAAAATCCAAACATGAGCCAGAGGTTTAGCTCAGTGGTACAAGCGCCTGCCTGGCAAGTATGAGGTCATGAGTCCGATCCCTGGAACCAAAAATAAAATAAAATAAAATCCAAACACAACTTTGCTGTGTCTTTTTGTCTCCAAGGTAAGTCCACATTCATTACTTCACATGGCCTTTTGTCCCTAGCATGTGATAAGCCAGCTTATCCAGCTACACAGTCACACACACACACACACACACACACACACACACTCCTTATGCACCCAAAGGTATTCTGCTTCCACTGCCTGGAAATATGCTTATCACTGCCTTTTTACCTCATATTCACCCTTTCAATTTTAGTTTGGGCATCACCTCCTCCAGAAAGCCTCCCTTGATTTTCTAAGGCTTCCTATGTGCTCTCCTCAGTAATAATCACTTTGTGTAGACACTACAACAACACATGTCTCCCAAGACAGTAGGGATGACTATATTCTGTTCAATTGCAGCACTCCACACTGTAAATGTCGGACTGAATGAGATGTAAATGTCGGAATAAATGAGAAATGGCCTAAAAGAGAACACACCTTGAGAAGGAAAGAGATCGCTGGGAGAAGACAGATGGCTCATAAGTCATAGAAGAGGAGATGGACCACAGAATACCTAGGCAGGACACCTGTGTGGGAGGGGACTAGCCCAGTGCCAACCTGGTGGAGGGCCCAGCTCACCTCACAGTGGTAACACTCCACGTGGTAGTCTCTGTCCATGGACACCACACGGATGGTCATCTCACAGCCCTACAGGAAGAGACAGGGTTCACACACAATAAGCTCCCTGCGACTCCAGGCAAGTTATGCACCAAAGCACACATCTGCACAAACTGCCCTTGTCATAATGGAGATACACTCAGCCCCTGTGAACACAGACATGGTGCTTCACTGAAGCAAATCAGGCAACAGCAGGTGACACTGATGGATGCATGTGTACTTTGGCTACTCTAGCCGTGTTCCCAGGCAGCAGGCTGGGACAGACCCAACTCATATAAGAGACCCAAGGTGGGACCTCTAGAGAATCCTCATCCTCCCCGCAGCCCAGCCAACCTCCACCAGCACAACTTGACAACCCAGGGAGCAGCGTTTCACCCATGGAGAACGGAGCTCAGGGTAGCAGTGGGAAGGCCCAGCAAGAGGCCAAGCAAGCCTCTTTCGTATAACTCATGCCAGGGGCAACCACATGGGCATACCACTCGTCCCTCAGCTTGGAGAGATGTGGAGCAGGGGCATCTGTTCAACCCTCCCACTGAGGCCCAGGATGTGAAGTGGACCAAACAAGAGAGGCAGGAGCCAGCAGGGCCAGGTACCTAATTGTCTGCAGGTGAGTGGTTCCTACCTGTGCAGGGAGGATAGGACGAGCACAAGAGGCACATTTTGGTGCAAACACCCTGAAAGAATAAAGGAAACCAAAAGTGACCAGCTGAGCAACCAGGGGCTAAGGGCACAAGGGGAGGTATACCCTCAGTACCCCCATGACATGGGCCTCTGTTCCTGGACACCTGGAAGGGGAAGCATGGCAGTGGCACATCATCTGGCTCCCCAGTTCACCTCCCCCTACCACCTCCTGCAGGACAGCATCAGGTTCTGTCCTGCCACCTCCACCTCCCCCCTGCTTTCTGTGAGTTCCCTGCCCCTTAAGATCCACATTTAGGCAACCATGTGCCAAGATCCCAGAGGGCTGCCTGACACTAATCCCAAGACTATCAGCAGCATAGGAACCTGGAGCAAGAGAAATGGAACAGCAGCCTACAGGCAAGGGAAAAGGCATCAGACAGGTAAGGGAACCGGAATGTGTGGCACTAAGCCCATGCCCAGGTGGAAGATGCCTGGCTCTAGGGGCAAAGGTCTAGATGGAGAATAGGGTAGCCAGGAAAGACCCCACTACTAGGAAGAGACTCCAATAGCATGAAGAGGGGTACATGAGGCCAGACAGGCAGACACAGGGGATGGCTGAACCACTGAGAGATGACCACCTATGCCCTAGCCCCACTGCTGAGTGCCCAGGAGGAGGGCAGAGGGGAGAAGACTAAACACAGAAAGCAGAGAAAAGCAGGACAGAAAGCTCTCCTAAGAGTGGCTGGGGAAGCAGTGTGGGTCACATCTGCTCTGCCTCACTATCAACTCACGTGTGGTAGTCTCGGACACAGTAGATGTTGTTCTCCACGTCCACCGTGAAGGGCACCCCATCCAGGCACTCATTGCACACGGAGCACCGGAAGCAGCCCGGGTGGTAGGATTTGCCCAGAGCCTGAAGGATCTGAGGGTGGGAGGCACTGAAGGATCAGTGGAGGGGGGGGGGGTGTCTCAGCAGCGCCCCCTACAGGGGCTCAGAATCTCAGAGGGGCTCAGGGATTTGAAAAGACTCTCACCATCTCCATGATGAGGTGTCCACACACACTGCACTTGTCAGCCGTCTGCTGGAACCCGGAGTACTGGGAGAGGACACAGGATCCAGGACGTCGTGTGACAAAGGGGCAAGCCCTGCCCAGCCAGCTCCTGCCTCTTGGCCACAGGTCTCCAAGCGAGTCAGAAAGAGGGTCCCGCCCCAGCTCCCACCCTTGGTTCGGCCTGGACTCACCAGGAAGTCCTCCTGGCAGTACACTTTCTCGCCCACGTTATAGAAGGCCTTCCCACGGAGCCGTCTCCCTGTAAGGACCAGGGCTTACAGTGGGTCCCTATGATGCTGGAACCATGGACGGAGCTGACTAGCATCTCTCAGATGATACAGTGGGTTATGGATACATGTTTGAATTTCCCTTCAATGTTTTGTTATTATTACAATAATAAATACTTCCCCCAATTTAGAATACAGTGCCATGAGAACTCTGCAAGACGCTGTGAATTCGAATATACGACTATTCTGTGCTGGCTCAAATTCCAGCACTCAAGAGACTGAGGCAGGAGGATCAGTTCAAGCCTAGCATGCACAATTCAGCAACTTAGAAAAAAATCTTGTCTCAAAATAAATAATTTATAAAAAGAACTGGACATACGCTGAACTGGTTCATTGCAAAGATCTGAGTTCAATCCCCTATGGTGGAACCAAAAAAAGATTAGAAAGGAATTCAGGGCCAGGGATATAGCTCAGCAGTACAGTGGCTGCCTGGCAAGTGCCAGGTAGTGAGTTCGATTCCCATACAAAAAAAAAAAAAAAAGGAAGTCAGACTATCTTTAATTACACATGACATGGTTGTGTTGTATACAAAATTATAAACAATTTATAAGAAACCACTAGGATAATCAAGTTTTGCAAGACTGTAAAAGAACAATATAAAAGCCAAATGTATTTTATATACTAACAACAAATGATTGGAAAATAAACTTGAAATTTTAAATTACATTTATAATGGCATCAGATATATAGAAGAAATACTAAAGGATTAATTTAAGATTTTAAATATCTCATGTTTTTTCCTTATAGGAGATCCAAAATACAATAATGTAATCAGCAAAATAAAAGATAAGACAGAAGGATATAGAAAGCTAGGTCTTTTGCACTTGGGTAGAAAACCAAGAGACGGAGGAAGGAGGGCAGAGAAGAGGAAGTAAAAAGAATTAAGATGTCTTACATATTTATACCAACTCCACACAAAGAATGTACTGGAAATATGTACTAATAAAAATCAAAATAATTAAGGGAAGATGGGTACATTGTGATACCAAACTCTGCTGAGTTTACTTTAAAAAGAAAAAAGAATAAAAATGAAGATACAGAATTTCAAAGCAAAATAACAGGTGATAAACAATGGCTAAAACATTATATATTGCTACCTTCAAAGTAGTTGCTCATATTACAAAATAAGCATAAAAAATTGATCAAAAATGAAAGCACAAATCATTCTTTTTGATGAACTAATACAGATTAGCAGTATAATTATCTATCTTGTATATACTGAGAGATTTTAAAAGATCTACATATAGTAGCCCAGCGTGGTGGCTCACGCCTGTAATCCCAGTACTCGGGAGGCTGAGCTAGGAGGATCGTTATGAGTTCAAGACCAGCCTGGACTACAAAGCGAGCTCAAAGCCAGCCTGAACTACATAGTGGGACCCGGCCTCAAAAAAGGCAAAAAAAAATCTACATACAAAAAAATAAAATAAAGGGAGGGCTGGGGAATGAGCTCAATGGCATAAGCGCCTGCCCAATGGCAAGTGCAAGGTCATAAGTTTGATCCTCAGTACCAAAAAAAAAAAAATCTACATATATAGAAATATATGCCATTGCAGAGATAGTTCTCCACCTGTTCTCTCAAATTTCTGAACAACTCAAAAAGAAAATACTAAGAGCTCTCATTCTGGATACTCTTTTTGAGAATGTCTGTAGAGCAGATTCCTTAGAAGACAGGTCACTTCTCTTAGGAGCAGAGGGCACATTTGCCTGCTGCCCAGTATAATGCTGGCAGCATATTATAAAAATGGGCACATGGCACATACCTGTGGTCCACTACTCATGAGACTGAGATGGAGCACTTGAGCCCAGGAGTTCGAGATCAGCCTGGACAATACACGGAGACCCCAACTCAAAAAGTAACACTGGAGTTCCCTAAACTCAAAGTTCTTCATCCCTGACATGCACTATCTGCACAGCTTCTTCCTAGCCACACCATGTCACTCCTGCGGGACCCCAAGAGCAAGCACACTGAACTGAACATGAAAATTCATGATGTTAGTCTCAGATCCACGACTTCAAGTCATCTGTGAACATCAAAAAGTGGCAAGTTCATCCTCCAGCCTCAAGGAGAGTAAAACCTAAGCCCTTTACAGTTCACAACCAGGGCCATGGCTTCAAATGTTATAACAATGCTGAGTACAAAGTTGGCACATTCGTATAATCTCAGCACTCTGGGAGCCTGAGGCAGGAGGATCACAAGTTCAAGCCCAACCTGGGCAATTTAGCAAGATCCTGTCTCAAATTTAAAAAAAAAGACCCTGAGTTCAATTCCCAGTACAGGGAAGAAAAGAAAAAAAAATCACACATACACACACATTTTGTTTCATTTTTGTTTTGTTTTTGAGATGAGGTCTTGCTATGTAGTTCAGGCTGGCCTTGAACTCACTGTGTATCCCAGACTGGCCTCGAATTCATAGCAATTTCTTGACTCAGTCTACAGAGTGCTGAGATTCCAAGTATTTAGCACTAGTTTCAGCTAAAAATATTTTTAAAAGCCAGTCATGGTGGCATAAGCTTGTGATCTAGCCCTCTGGAGGCTGACAGGAAGATCACAAGTCTGAGGTTCCATGGGCTACAAAAGAAAATAACCACATTAGGTAGGTTTGGGATTGGCAGGGAGATACAGCACTGGCCTTAGCATGCCCAAAGCCCAGAATTCCCCACCACTGAAAGAGAAAAAGAAATCACACTAGGTGAAAACACACAAAACATCTGACTGACAAATAACTTCAACTCAGAATAAATAAATATATATTCCTGAACTCAATAACTTAAGTCACTATTAAAATAAATAACTCAAATATTTAATTATTTAAATTTTTGTTAATTAAATTAAAATAATTAAAAGACAATTCCCAATGTTTAAAGAATGGGGGAAAAAAACCTTGAACAGATTTTGCAAAAGACCTATTTATGGCCAAGAAGCAAACAGTAAGATATTTGCCCCCATTAGACAATCAGGGAAATGCAAATTAAAACTACAATGAGCTACCACTCATCAGAATGGATAAAATGAAAGACAAAAATACCAACTGTTGGCAAAGACATAAAATAAACCAACTCCCTTACATTTTTAGTGGGAGTATAGAGTGGCACAGCTCCTTTGGAAAACACTCTGGCAGTTTCTTACAAAGTTAAACATACACTTACCCTATCACCCAGAAATTCCAATCCTTGGAATTTACTCAAGAGAAATGAAAGCATATGTCCTCAAAGTGAACTCTACAGGAACATTTACAGAGCCATGTAGTATCTACCAACAGTTAGGTGGATAAACAAACTGCGGGATAGTCATCCAGTGGATTTCTATTCAGCAATAAAGAGGCAGAAGCTGGGTGAAAGAGAACTAATGAGGGGCTGAGGTCCCACATAGTGGTTCACCACTTGTCTAGCACTGGCGGGGGACAGTGTTCCATCCCTAATGTGCGCACATGCACATCCAGACTATACCACAATACATTTCATGAGTAAAAACCCTTGAGTGTGGGCAACCTGCTCAGGACCCCTTCTCTCTCTCTTCAGACAAAAGCTTTCTTTCTCTCAATAAATACATTCTACTCTTACCTCCGTTGCTCCTAAAATTCATTCTTCAATTTTAGAGAACACGAATTCACAGACACAATAGGTTGGGCGTTTCAGTCCCCTATATCATTTGGAGGTCTTCCACCAAGATCACTGGATGGAGAAACAGGCAAAACAATGCCAAAGCCCCTAACTCCTTTGGAATGCATTCCATAGCACTGGAAGATGTTTGATCCTTCCATGTTGAAAAAGAGACAATTGGTATTTCTCTGCAGGAGTGTGCGGCCTACTCCTAGAGCCAAAGTGGAATACAGAGACTTAAAAGCTGTGTGCATACCCAAGATGAAAATGCCTGGTGTCTATCAAGGGCCTCTAGACAGGATCTCTACAGATGTACCTCTGACTGCTGTTCAAAAACTGCGACCCTGTTCAGCCTAAAGCAGCTAGATCTGTCTTCTGTTCTTTCCCCTCAAGGCAATTCAGGTTACTTCTTCAGAGGGGGTATTGTTGCAGGCGCTGTACTAGTTAGAAACATTATAGGCAGTGAGATAGGGCTAGGTCCTCAATACAGCCAGTGCAGACACCTGGCAGCTGCCTGGGAAGCTGACGCATCCTGCTGTGGACCAAGTCTCAAGACAAAAGACCATACAAATGCACCCATATCCTGGGATTGATACCCTAAATAGTTCCCATCCCTCTAGGAAGAGTCACTGCTAAGAATGCCTGCTTCCTACGTGACTCGCTTCCCCATTTGTTCCTAATGTAATCAATTTTACCTGAACTATTGATCTTATTGGCTAACTACAGTTATGTCTCACCTTATGCCCATCTGCCTTGTGAGTTCCCAGTCTTCCCCCTCCCTGAACCCATGATTTTACTCTATAAAAGACCCTGGAAAAGACAAAGTCCTTGCCAACTCGCTCTGGACCCTTTCTGTCTCTCTTCAGACAGAAGCTTCCTTGTTTTAAAAAAAATATATTCTACTCTTTAAAAAAATCCTTGAGTGTGTAAGAGTACTCATAAAAGAAAATATTGACTTCACTCAATTTTTTTTAGTGTTTTCAATTTTTATGAAGAAAACATTCCAGGGGTCTAGGTATTTGGCTCAGTGGCATAAGCACCTGCCTTGCAAGCACGCAGTCGTGAGTTCAATCCCTAGTACCGATAAAAAAAAAAAAAAAAGAAAAGAAAACATTCCTTCAAACAATTTTTATATTCCCTAAGGAAATGCTCCCTCTCAACCCAGACCTCAACAAATTCCCACAGACAGACTTCCATAAACAAAAACTATAAAACACATAGGGAACAAGTTATCATGGCCAAGAATGAGGACAAACCACAAACAGTAGAAGCAAGACTTCAAAAGACATTTGACGTTGGAATTGTTAGAGAATACAGAATAGGTATGTTTAATATGCTTACAAAATAAAAACAGATGTCTAAAACATAAGAT